CTCTGGTCGGCGCAGGTCGCAGCAGATTCTGTTAGTTGCTGTGGAACGACAGAGAACAGCTTTCGGGGAAGCGCTGCGGAAGTGGACGCATTCTAACGACGGAAGTATGTACGGCACCACCTCAGTAACTTGGCGTATGCAGCCCACTAAACACTTGAGTACTGCGTGGCAATTATTTTGCCTACTTTACTTCGGCAGCACTGACTGTACCGCGTGCGTGTGAACGGCCGGGTTGCCTACCATAAGGCCAATAAGGCGCACTGCACTCGTGGCTCTGACTTCTTTTCATTTCCCGTTTCTGAGAAAATGGAAAATAAGAAGAAAGAGTTGACCATCACATGAGATGACATACTAAGGCCAGTGTCCTTGCCGCTTGTGAGCCCCACCCGCATACTGTCGCTTGCCCGGACTGTTTTATCGCGGGCCACTCCGTTCCGTCCCGCCGCACCACACCCAACTACGGCCCATCGCGGCCGCGGCGAGCCAACTCGAGCGAGACGACTTGCAAATAGTTTGGAAACAAAACAATCCATGAATGTGGTCGGCGGGCGGGAGCGTACTACTGGCGCTCGTCTTCAGCGCCTAGTCTGCCAGCCCCGCCCGCGGGCGGCGAGCCGCAGCCGCAAGTACCCCCCGTCCCCACCCCCTTCCCCCCGGCCCCCCGCCGGTGCGCATGCGGTGTTTTGCGACTCGTGACAAGCGGACGCCGGATGGTTAGGCAACCCATTCGGCACGCGGTCGCAGAGACGAGACAAGAGCTGGGCGAGGGGGGCGAGGAGGGGAGGGGCGACGGTAGTACAGTACAGCCCGTCTTGTCTGTATGACCAGCAGGAGGAGGGGAAGGTGGCTTGTTGTAGTACTGGTCGCCTTTTATCTGAGTAGCTTAAGATCAATTAGCTTTTAGAATAATGGCGTTGAGTCAGACTGGCGTGGTAAGTTGGACTTTTCCTACCAAACTCTAGTCTCGTAGGCTTTGTAGATATTGTTACCGCATACCTGCAGCAGAATGTTTTTTATCTGCTGAGTGCCGAGGGGAGATGTAGGGTTAGGTTCTTCACGGGTCCGACCACCGCTCACCATCCCTCTCTGCATTTCATCTCGCGTTTAACTTTTCTCTGTTCCGTTGAACCTTCACCGTCGAAACGCACCACTCTGTCACCGTGCAAGTCTGTTACTTTTGTGTGACGACTTGAACATTGCTTGAAGTATTGTTGTAACCTCCCAAGCACTATTTTCTGATTCGAAATTTGTACATAAATTACACATTTTATCTCTGTAAAAGGTGTGGGTGGGATTAGAATAGAAATAGGCTATATTTTCTTACCATTCAATTTTCGGTCTCATCAAAATAACTATACTAATACCGAGGCTAGATTAACTTGCCAAGATCATGATATTTTAAATATTTTGTTCCAGTTAAAATTGTACAACAGTGTCATTGAGGATGTCATCACTGGTGTCCGAGAAGCATTTTTAGATGAAGGAGTTGATGACCAAGTATTGCAAGAATTAAAACAACTATGGGAAATGAAGTTAAATGCAAACAAAGCAGTCGAAGTTCCAGAACCATTGGACCCTGCTCCACCTCTTCTTGGTCAAAAGTCTAATTCTAAATCAGGTATGGAATATCGTTGATGAAAGAAAGTTAATAATTTATGCTTTGTCACTTATATTTACTTTAAATAGCAGTTAATATTATAAAATTGATGTGTGGCATGGTGGTTTGAACATCTTGTTTTGTTACAACGTAATACATATTAGATTTAATATTCTAGTTTTAAATGGAGCTGAGTACAATTATTGCACCAGAGTACTTTATCGTTGTTTCCAGGGTTGCCACAAGTAAGATAAATCAAAGATATTTCAGAGATTTTGATTTGTTAATGGACAAATGCCAGGGAGCCTCACATTTTCAATGTGTTGGTGTCTTTAAGGTATTACCTTCTGGTTTTTGGGTTCTTGTGGTACCCCACTTCTCTGGTGTAAATTGGTTACAGTTGTACTTTTTATTTCCTCCAATTAATTGCTGCTTGCTTGACTTTGGTAATTGTTGACTCATTTTATGTGTTGTGCTTCCAAGTTTTTGTGTAGTGGTGAATAAGATTAGTGTGACAATTAATTAGACATTTAATTTATGACATTTATTTGTAGATTCACCATCTGCAGACAGTTTGCCTGGTCATGTCAGTGGTATTGAGTGTGAGGATTACATTCTGACTGTGCCTTTTTGCCTGATGTTGAGTTTTGTTATCATTAGATTTTTATTTGACAAGAAGTCAATGGATGAGGAATGTGTTAGCTTGCAAAGAAGACAGAACCCCAAAGGTGTCAAAATCATAGGGAGGGCCATATCTATGTAAATACTTGTCTAATGGGTCATATTTGTTATTATTCCCCTGAGGATGTTAAACAATAGAATTATCTCAGTGCCCTGTTATTTATTTCTAACGGGGCAGAAGCTTCCAAGCTATGAAGGCTTTATCATGTTTTGAACTAGTTTGTAGGCTGTAGCAAAAGCTTTGTTGCAGGTGGATCAAAGAAGAGTCAGGCGGCAGCTGCTAAAGCTGCAGCTGCAGCTGCTGCTGCTGCCGTAGTCCCAACGGCAGCAGCAGAAAATGCTGCCGATGTGAAAGGTGAGCCTCGGCCTGGGCCCACCTCTGCCAGATGCATGGGTGAAGGCATTTTCTTAATCCTTTCTTCCTGTCACAGCATTCCATTATTGTCATCTACTGCTTCTCATCATGTGTCAATTTTTTTGCTTGCTTCCAGTTTTGGTAATTCTTGCTACTGTGTAATGTACCTTCTTTTCTTTTGTAATGTAGAATGCTGCATGTTTAAACTGATGCTATTTCTATTTGCCTTGCTTTTATAGTTAATGCTTAAAGTGCTCAAATCATGTCTCAGTTTCAACCCTGATTGGTTCTTTTCTATACATTTTTTGATACTTTTTCAGGAGCTGGTAGCTGTGTAGCATTTGAAGGCTTTTTAATCTCATTTAAGCATTTTCCTCATTCTTGGAGCTATGCCTCTAAACTATGTAGTAACTGTTTGAATTAAGGTCTTAGTAAGCTTAACTCTTTAAAGGTTGTGCCAAGCATTTTGTTCTTTATTAATGTGCCATTTGTGCTTTCTGATTCTTCTGATCAATACATATTCTGGTTAAATGTGCTCCAGCTTGAAAACTTGTGCTGTGTATAATAGTTTATAACTACTTAGTAGCAGTAGTGTATTACTGTTTTGGCATAGTTACTTGATTTTGCTTGTGTCCTATTATATACCTGCTTATGTAATACAACAAATTTTTTCCACCATTGTTTCATGCATGTTTCATGCATGTTTTTCTGTATATTGGTCATCATGTTAAGTGAAGATCAAAGCCTTACTACTTGGGGCTGGGGAAGTGAGGTCTGGAGAGAGAAAAGGAAATGGCTGATCACTTGACAATTCAAGAAAAGCTAGCCTCTCATTTTCCGAGAAATGTTTTGGACATTTGAGGACATAGTTTAGGAAAACTCTCACTGATAGAAATGTCCTTTTGCTTGAAATCTTTTTCTAGCCTTTTTGTGGCTTACTATTGGTTTTGGTTTTAGAATATCAAACCCCAAAACAGAATTTCTGCAAGCAATTTCACACAGTTTGAAGTAAAGGTTCTGGGTAAAAAACTGACTTAAAGGAATAATTGCATGCCTTAATTCCATGTATGAAACATTCAAGTTATTTGTTCAGCTGATTCATTAGTATAGTATTTTATTTGAAAAATATTTTTTGGACTTACATGTCACCCTTGAAAAGAGCTCTTTTTTTATTTGTTTTTTTTCTTTGTCTGTTAATTTACAGTTCCAATATCAGCCCCTGTTCAATCAGTGGGAATGAATGCAAGTAACGGTGCAACACTAATGCAGGGCTCAGGCACAATGCCTCTAGGTCAAGGACTTGCTCAAAGTGGTGTTAGTCAAACAATTACTACAGCCCAACAGCAGCTAGTCCGACTTCAACAACCTACTCTCCAATCTACACAAAGTCAGGTTCCACTTATGAAGAGTCAACCTGTGCAGCAACCCACTACTCAGACAACCCAGCAAACTACTCCGCAGGCACCTGCCCCAGCTTTTGCTTTGGCCTCTGATCCTAACCGACAGGTACCTATTCAAATCACATTGCCCCCGCAAGCTGGTGTTCCTGATGCTCAACCTCGAGTACTTACAATTCATGTACCTGCATCTGCATTAACAGGTAATAAAATTGATTAGTTTGCTTATGGCTGTTGGCTTTAATTTTTGTTTTTGTTTTTTCATGGCATAACATTTTTTACAGGTAACCAGCTACAGCAAGTTCTCACTGGTCCTGTCATATCCGCCACCATGAATCTGCCTTTGGCCCTGGCTTGTTCTCTATTGCAACAACATGTTAATGCAGCTCTCCAGGGACAAGCTGCTAATGGTAGTTAATTTTTTAAAGTGAACATCTATGGGCATTGCTGTTTATTTCCCTATGTTCAGGTTTTGTAATATCTATGCAATTACAGCAGCAGCTCAGTTGCAGTCTTCTAATAATCAAAATAATGGAGTTACCACTTTTGGTCATCAAAACCAAGTATGAATCCTTCCTTTTTCCTTCTCTCTTCTCCTTCTCTTTTTGTAAATTTTAAATGTTTACTTTGATACACCACTTTACCTCCATCTTGATGCCTTACCTCTAGACCGCAAACACCATATCACAGTTAGATGGAGCACTTGACACATCTGAAGAAGAAGATGACGATGATGACGATGATGATGACTTTGATGAAGATGATGACATTGATGAACATGAGGATGATGAAAACAACGAAAACGAGGGTGGCGCTGAAGAAGTACGTTCATTTATCCTTTTTTTTATTCCTCTATTCTCAACTATTTTTAACATCTTTTTGTTTTTAAAAGGAACCTTTGAATTCAGAAGATGATGTAAGTGATGATGACCCTCAAGACCTTTTTGATACTGAAAATGTAGTTGTGTGCCAATATGACAAGGTAAGTTTGTCATCTGAAATTTAATTTCTACTATTTATGTACATCTGATAAATTTCCTTTGATTAATGGTACCCTACTTTTTTAAATCCCACAGATTACTAGAACTCGTAACAAGTGGAAATTTTATCTGAAGGATGGTATTATGAACTTAAATGGTAAAGATTTTGTCTTTCAAAGGGCAACTGGAGATGCTGAGTGGTGAACATGTATGACCAAGTCAGCAATGCTGAATTTGGAAAGGCAACAGAGAAATTGTAGAAATGTCTCTTCTTTAATGCAATTTACCAATGTGAAAGACCTGCATATTGTTTGGTCTGTTACCAAAGGGGATGTGTTGATGTGTTCACTGGTTTCTCAGCTATTTGATCTCTGTGAAGATGAAAATGGTTGTAATTGTGGGTGTGCACATTAGGTTCTACTGTAAGTATTGTACAATAAGTTTGTCATTAATCTTGTACATTGGTATTCATGTCCATCACTGCTGGATCAGACTTCTTAGTTATGTACGTATGTTAATTTCCCTGCAGAGCAGATTGGCTGGCCAGTCATTGGCTGCATTTGGAGTGCTTTGTTTTCCATTGCATTGACTGGCGTTTCAGCTTGTACCTGCTTTAATTCCTTTCCATTTTTTGTGTGTTTTTTTTTTTTTGAACTGATTTTTCTGGATTGCCAGAAGTAGTCATGTATATTGATCATTGATCTGTCTTGTCAGCATCCCCTTCCTGTAGGATTTATATCTTAAGGGCGCAAAAGCCAATCGTTCTTGCTATTAAGTAAAACTAATGTAATTGTGATATTAACTATCAGAAGATATGGCCCATAGAACCTGTAACTTATTTAAATGCATCACGCTGTATTTCTAGACATTGTTTGCTATGTTGGTCACTAATGAAATAATTGTTTCAGTTCTTGTTAAAATTAAATTGGTTTTCTTTATATCCTGGAACAATGAACTCAATTTTTATTCTTTTGTATTGTCATTTTCAAAGTATTCCTGCATTCCTTATCACAGTTGCTCAAAGTGGAATGTATGTCCAGTTTATGTACATCTGTAGAATACTAGTGTCTTTGTTTTGTATATTTGTTTTATTTCATTTCCCTTGCGAGGCTTCTTGGCCAAAGTGGTGTTGTTTCTCAATAAATCAAGTCAGATTTCAACAAGTATCACAACGAATGAAAGAGAGTAATCTACTCAATTCTTTAATCACGGTCAGATTCCAAACATTTACCTTATTAACTATGATTTTCTCACGATTGTGAGCGTAAGCGTTTAGTACTAATGCCACTGGCTTCTTGTTCAGCTCTTCTCTTCTTCAGGGCAGCCCTGTCCTCTTTTCTCTCAGCAGAAGTTTTCTTAAGACCCTTCATCTTTCTGGTCTGTAGCTTGTCAATCTTCTGCTTGGGAACATGAATACGCCCGTGTGTGGTGCCCAAATTGTCCTTGGTAACATTCTTCTTCTTCTTGATCTGTTAAAAATACAAAGTTAAGATAAATACTTTGCCTAATCTGCCAGGAAAGATGGAAAACAAATTTTGCTTTAATTGTCTAACCTTGAGTTCTTTCGGTTGCTTGCATGCTGTTTTGAGTAGGTCATCAGATGCAAGCTTTGTTCTCCTAAGTTTCATTTCAGCAGAAGGGCCAATTTCCTCAAGTTCAATACGAGGAGTTCTCTGTCCAGATTTCTTCAGCAAGATTCTAAGGGTTAAAATAACAAATGCATATAAAAGCCACGAAATGAAGAAACTCAACATACTGCACTTCCATTAAACGGGTATACTGACCTATAGCTTTTCATATAAATCTTGCCCTCAACAGCTGTGAAAGCTATGACATGTTCAATACCCTGAAGTCTCACAGCACTTGCAGTTTCCCGATGGAATAAGTCTACTAACAGATTTTTTAATCGCTGGTACTCATGGTGCTGTGACCACAGATCTCCATTGAACACCAGACAAGGCTTCAAACCAAGACCAACCTTTTCATTTTTAAACTCTATCATTGAAGTAAAATTTTCAACCCCTAGTTCAACCATATCTAACAGCTGGTAATCATATAACCTTCCTGGAAATGTATGCAATATTTAAGAAATCGACAACAATGACATTTAACTTATGATGCAGAAATATGTACAAACCTATTATCAAATTATTGGGTCTTTTTTTAGTATGAGATCCAAAAATAAACAAATTGGCATCTCTCTTTTTTCCGGACTGCTCCAGAAAAGAGGCATCTTCAAACGGTAAGATGTCATTTTTCTGGGACAGCATAACTGCATCAGGTTTCTTCAATGAGAACTAAAATCAGGAAAGAAAAAAGAACGAGTAAAAAACAACTCTTATTACATTACGTTCCATGCACATTACATTTTTCACTACAACAGTTTTGATGAAACTCGTCCTCTCTGGGATGAACTTACAAAATCTTTAAGACAATCATTTATGATTCCTCCAGTCTTTCTGCCCTTTAACAGGAAAGTTTGCTTAGTGTTTTCAATGACTTGCGGTTCTTTGGAGAGCAACACTTTTTTCCCCTTGTGGGTGGTTGGTTTTCTGCAAACAAAAAGGTGAAAATATATATATACCAATATTCTCAAAAGGGACAAACTAATGTTGAAAGTCGCATGTCCCACAACTACAGGTTATGTATGTTATGTAGGACACGAATTCGGATGAATTTCCTAGAAGTAAAGACGTTTATCCAATAATGAAACACCAAAACTAAATTCCACAGGATGATAGCGGTGGTCCCTCCGACTTAAAGAGAAAACAATCCAGTCGACATGGCACGCAAGAGGTCTACTGTGAAAGGTACTGAACGCAATAGGCCCTTATCAAGCTTTCAGGAATTATAAAGCTCACATATTAGTAAATCACACCTCCGACCTTCGGGTTACTCACTTAATTCTTTGTAGAACTGGCATTTTCACAGACTGTGTTGAGTTGACTCAAGAGTGTCTAACCTAACAAACGCATGCGTCAACATGTGGTGGTGGTGAAAGGAAAACTGCGACCGAGCAAAGCAGACACTGCGCTGTGCAAATAACGTATGTGTGTTCCATGCACTGCAAATAAGCAGAAGACTGGGAGGGGAGGAAGGAAGGAAGAGGGGTGGGGAGAAGTGCTGTCATTTTTTATATGCCCATCGGAATCAGAAGAATAATCTGGAGCATAATTTTTTGATAATTTGTGACGTCAGCAAGCCAACTTCACGCTTCGTGGGCGTCGAATGCATCGCAGTTTCTTTTCCTGATTGTACTTTGAGATAGGTCCCGTCCGGTCCGTTATTGATCTCATGTTTGTCGAGCGGAGTGGCAGAGCAGAAGACCGAGCCGGAGGGGCGGGCTGTCCTCCTCTCTCTCTCTCTCTCCTCGGAGCCCTCGGCCCTCGGAGTCCCCGAGCCGCATCGCTCATCAGCATCATCAGCTCACTGCTCACTCCTCACTCGGGTCCAAAGACACCGGGCGGGTGGGTGTCTTTGTCATTGACGTGATTCGATTCAGCGCCGACGGGACGGAGTGAGGGCCGGCCGCACAGAACAGGAGAGCTACACTTCTGACCACTGTCAGCTGGTGTCGGGACATCGGGATCATGTTGGACTGTGCATCGGCTGTCGGCATGGACTGCATCGTCAAGATCTCGTCTTGGGACAGGATCAAGATTCACGTCTGCTCCCTGCTGTGTGGCCTGTGGATCCTGCTGAAGCGATTCTTGCTGCGGCTATGGAACGCAAACTATGCGGGCGGATCCTCGGAGAAGAGAGGGAGCCCGCCAGCCTGCCTCCTTGAGGCCAACCTCGGTTCTCACTCGTACGTCAAGTTAAAGGTACGGACCTCTTGTCCTCTTCCAGCTCGCAGCACTCAGCACTCAGCTCGAGCAGAGCTCTGTAGCAACCACCTGTTAACGGCCTACCTGTTGCTGCACCCTGCTCTATCTGGCGTGCTGACACCACAATGTCACCCCATATTTGTTTCCCTTTTGTTTTGAACTTTGGACCAGTTTGTGCCATTGTAGCTGCAGTCTTCTTTTCTCTTGGAACTCATTTTTTTTATTAGTTTTATTCAGTTGTATTTTAGAAGGTGCACCGAGCTAATGATTTTATCAAATTGCTTAATTTATTTCCCGTTCTAGTTTTAGATGATGCTTATCAATGAATACTTGTTTTACATTTTTCAGGGAGTGAAACTGCATTACGTTGAATGCGGAGGAGGTAGAGATCGTCCCCTTATTCTACTGCTTCATGGTTTTCCGGACTGTTGGATTGGGTGGAGACAACAGGTTCCTGTTTTATCTAGCTACTTCAGGTAACAGTAAATCTCTACTATTTGTACACTGCTGCTATTAAATCATCAATCAGTACTCAAATTTTATGGTTTGTTTGCAGAGTTGTAGCCTTAGATTTAAAGGGATTTGGTGATTCAGACAAGCCACTTTCAGCTCGCAGTTACCAACTTTCAACTGTCGTGGCTGAGCTCAGAAGCCTCATTGCTGCTCTTGGTGTAAGGAGCTGCATGATAATTGGCCATGATCTTGGAGCCCTTCTGGGATGGTTCCTTGTTCATTGTTATCCTGATGTTGTAACAAAGTTTGTTGCAATTTCATGTCCTCATCCTAATGTCTATTGGACCTGTCTGCCCAAAACAAGTGCTTTTAATTCAAGGTAAGTGATAGTTTTTCCACCTTTAAAACAGCATGTTATTTTATGCTTGAAATCACTTTTTTGAATCCTGTCTATAGATGGTTACATCTTAGTCAGCTTCCTAGTTTAGCTGAAATGGAGGCACTTACCAACGATCTAGGCATTATTGATCAGTGCTACCAGCATCTGAAATCTAGGAAGGGCCAGGAAGAATATCTTGATGCTTACAAGTACACTTTTTCTAGGAGAGGTAAACTTAGTGGAAACCACACACCTTTTTTTCATTTTCATTAGTTCCAATTTCTCAATTATAAATTTGGCATTTGTTTTTGTGAAATGGATTTACAGAGGATTGGACTGGACCCATAAACTACTACCGCAATCTTCCTTTTTGGAGAGTGGGTGAAGGCAGAGGTGCTGTGAATGTTCCTACTTTACTGCTGACTGGAAACAAAGATCCATGGGTGAATTTGGAGAGCATTGTGAAGTCATCAGATTATGTGGAAAAATTTCTAGTCAAAATGGTTGAAGGTGCTGGCCACTTCCCTCACCAGGAATGCCCTGATGCAGTCAACAAATTACTTTTATCCTTCCTCATTGGTAAGTACAGTTTTGTTATTTGCGGCTTTACTGTGTTGGAAGGAAAACCATAATATTAGAGAAAATTATTTTTTAACAGAGAAACCTCAGGTGAAATCTCCACAGAAGGAATCTTCTCTGGGTCTTGTGAACCGTATGTTTAGCTCAACCATGTGGTATGGTAAAGAAATGCTTGATGTTGTTCAGAAAACTACAAGCGGAGTTGCAGGGATTCCAACTCGAGCTCTTGCACTAGCTCAGTCGGCAAGTTGAGTAATTTATTTACTTGTTAGTAATGCAGGTGTAATATAAAATATACAATGTGGTATTTGTCCTAAAATTCACATTATGAAAGCAGCTTTTTTATGTAAAAGTGTTGTGTTTTCTTTCTGTTGGTAGAAACACAAAATTACAGCTAAGTAAATTTCAATGTCAGATTTGTTGTGATATTTAGATTTTACAGTAAGTAAATTATCAGCATCAACAACTTTGTCATTTTCCCTTAGTCACAATCAATTTATTAATTAGCTTCTCTGGCATAGCTATTCTTTTCAAAAACATGAACTTACTTGATTGTGGTAGTCGTAGTTTACCTAGTGCCTAGTATGTATCGTCGAAGTCTTAATGCAGCATTCACAATGTCAAACCAAAGTTACAACAGTCAGCTTTCTAGTCAGTTGTCTTACTTATTCCTCCAGAAATTTATCAATGTTCTGCATCTTTTATTTTTTAGCTCACTTACTTGAGTCTTATCAAAAATACTCAGTGTTTTCTTGTTTTGTTTTCGTTATATTTTTTTAAATTTTTATGAGGATGCTTTTATTTCATCTTATTATTTAAGCCTGTTTTTTCCCTTTGTGTAAATTTGAGGTTCAAAGGAAGTGTGTCAAAATGCTTCTTGGCATGGCACATGGCTGTCTGTGAGCTTACAAGATCAAAAGCCTCTTTTCTGTGGCACTTTTTGTTTTCATTTATTGTCATATTGGCAATGGCAGTACATTGTATGTAGATCTCGTTTTTGTTTTCAATTTTATTTTATGTTGATAATCAAACATCTTTGTCCTGTATACTTCAATTTTTTAACTGTTTGAAATGCCATTGAGGCAGTATATTTCCCACCTTGATGAGTTCTATAAAACGGATTTTAAGTGTGTGTAATAATAAACATGTGTTTTTTTTAAGACCTATAGTTTTTACAAAAATATGTTTTCAGTTTATTCAATATTTAGGTTGTCCATGTGTGATGAAAGAGCACCCACCGATGTTACTGTTGTCATGTTTGGTGAATTTTGGTATCCTAATGACTGTAAATCCTTCGTGACTATATTGAAACTCACTTTCACGTTTCCTTGAGAACGAACCCTTGTCACTGAAAGCAGAAGAATATCAGTTAGAGCATCTTATGCTCATACAAACTGAGGAAAAATATTGACACAGCTTTTACCTTCTCTTCCTTCGCCTTGTGCAAGAACTCTCGGATCAACATATTCTGGTCGACGTCCTGTCAACCATGCCGTCATTTTTTGAAGAAGTGATGTAGATTCAGGAACAAACATTGGTATCCTACAAAAGAAACCAAATGTGTGTTAATAGGAAAAAATGCTCTTTGAAGTCACAATGCAACTGGTTGAGTCTTACGTTTTGAAGTGTTGTCCTGCACTGACAGGAAGGTGACAAACACCATAGCCTCTAACAACATCATTTCCAAAAGTGTCTAGTCCATAGCAGCTAATGATCAGCTGCGGCCCTTTAAAGTTCAGCAATGTATTAAAAGAAAAGGACATGTTTCACAGAGAGCCTCATTCTGTTTAAACTTACATCCAAAAGGATTTGTACTTTTAAATGTTATCTCTAGGGGGAAGTTCCATACAAAAATTCTTCGCTCATCATTGCTGCATCTGCCCACCTGAGAAATTCCCTCTTCCAGGCCCTAGAACAATAAAATAGAATAATCCCCGAAAATGTACTATTGAAAAATCTGACACATGATCAGGGGTGTGTAATAATATACTTACCGCTGTCACCACCCAATCCAATCCATACATGTAACAGTACTTGCAGTAAATGTTATCAAAGCCAGGGAACTCTGCTGTCTCAATCTGGCCTGTTGTTGATAAAAGGAAAAGGCCACTGGATGCGGACATTCTTCCAAACTAACAAAGTAGCTAGCAAAAATTAGATGTTCTAAATGTCAGATGACATTCTAGTTAAACTCTACATAACAAACAGCACCTAATTTGTAACTGTCATAGATACTCGTTAAATGATCCAATCTGTTTAATGAACGCAGGAGAAAAGGAAGCTTAGTACAGCTTTGTATGTTTGTTGTCATGTATCGTTGCCTAGCAACAGAGACCGGTTCAAACTACGCGAAATATTAAAGCACTTAAGTATGAGAAATTTTTGAAATTCTGTGATATTCTAACGTTACGTTGCTTACCGCAACTCGTTTTTTTTTTTTACGAAGCAATTTGAAATTTATATCGTTGTAAATCAAAAAAATTATTTTCTACTGTCTGATTTGTTTCGAACGTCGGAGGGGCTTGCATTAAGTGAAATTGAAAATTTGTAGTGCAAATAGCTGAACTGTTTGTATTTGCACCGAAGGGCCGAGAGGCCGAGAGCAAGTGCACGTGTAAACAAACAACCATACAACATGTCGCTGTTGCCTGATCCTGCTGAGTGCACAATGTCTAACCCGTCGTCTGATTCGGAAAATAACAGTGAAAATGAGGCTCAAGCACTTGCGAAACCCCAAAAAATAAAGAAGAAAGAGAAAAGAGGAATTATATATTTGTCAACTATTCCCAAATTCATGAATGTCACGAAAGTGCGGGAAATTTTCGGTGAATATGGAGAAGTTGACAGGGTATTTCTCCAACCCGAAGAAAAAAGTAAGTAGTTTGGCATCACAGAATTGACTATTTTAGTTACGATAGATGCGTTCGATTGGTTCTTCATTTCTAGGTTGAAAGATTGAATCTGCTCAATTTTCCCTAAATGTTGTGACGCACATGTGATGTTTTAGGTTAGAGTTCGTTTGGTGTAATATT